TGTCATTCTGGGCCATCTCTCCATATACCTGTCAAAGTACATTTCCTCACTCCGGCTCCTGCTCACTTCTAACCATGGAGTTACTACAACTACTGAGTTCTCAGTCTCCACCAGCCGACTATTTCTTCCCTTTGTGTGTTTGTGTGTTGTGCGTTTTGCACAAACAGGAAACAGCCTGCCCTTGGATTTGAATGCACCAGTCAAGCTGAGACTGGAAGAAGTGGCCTCTTTGTTTAAAATCTCTTTTCTTTTCTTTTCTTTTCTTTTCTTTTCTTTTTATTGGTTTTATTTATAGTTTTTTTCTTTGACACACATAAGCGCTTAGCAAACAGTATATTGCCTCAGTCAATTTGCTTGATAACAACAATAGGGACGCGGTGGCTCAATGGGTAGGACGCTGAGATTGTCGATCAGAAAGGTGGACGGTTCGAATCCCTGGCGCCGCGTAACGGAGTGAGCTCCCGTGACTTGTCCCAGCTTCTGCCAACCTAGCAGTTCGAAAGCCCGTTAAAAAATGCAAGTAGAAAAATAGGAACCACCTTTGGTGGGAAGGGAACAGCGTCCCGTGTGCCTTCGGCGTTGAGTCATGCCGGCCACATGACCACGGAGACGTCTTCTGGCTCTTCGGCTTTGAAACGGAGATGAGCACTGCCCCCTAGAGTCGGGAACGACTAGCACATGTGTGTGAGGGGAACTTTTGCCTTTACTTTTAAGTCCATGGCATACGGCCATTTGTCTAACAACCATTTGAAGATACAACGGTGTTGAAAAATGAGATTTGGGATTGTTTTTTACACTTAAGACCGTTGCAGCTCGTCCATGGTCACTAACATATGACAACTGACTCCTATTTATGACGGTTGTAGTGTCCTTGTGGGGGGGGGGGAGTGCCACGTGATCCTGACTTTCAGCAAAGTCAATGGGGAAGGCAGAGACACTCAAGGAGTATGTGGTTAACTTAACAATTGCAGGATTCACTTAACAACGGGTGGGAAGAAACTGTGGCAAAACCCAATTGAACATATGTCTCACTTAGCAACCGAAATGTTGGGCTCAGTTGTGATTGTTAGTCAAGGGCCACCTGTATATAAGGTAGGCGGAGTATCAGTCCGTGAAAAAAATAGAATAAAAATACAATAATAAAATGAAATTAAAATACAATGGAATGGAATAGAATAGAATAAGGAATAGGAATAGGAGTAGGAGTAGGAGTAGGAATAGAACAGAACAGAACAGAACAGAATAACAACAAAACATAAAAGGACGAGAAGAGAAGAAGGGAAAAGAAAAGCCAAAATAACAGGACAAAGTTTGCTTGTTTTATGAGATGGCAGCTTAGATAAATTTAGAAACGTACAGAAATAAGGAATTAAGATATAGAACCCAGTGCATGGATAGATTGAAGGCAAGCAAAAACAACAACAACAACAACAACAACAACAACACACACAATGATTTTCTATGCTGCTAAAATCACCCTTTTATTACATAAAATGCAAAATAATGGCTTAAGAGCCCCATAAACCAAAATAAAACAATTTAAGGCGGCCGAAATGTTGCTAAGAAGCCAATGTTGGCCTGTACGTGGGTCAAATAAGTCAAGATGGCAGAGAGCTTTTCAAGAAAAGATTGGGCATACATTTGATTGGGATGGTATAAGATCTCCTGCCCTGGGCAAGGGGTTGGACTAGATGACCTCCGAGGTCCCTTCCAGTCTTTATGATTGTAGGATTCTATGGTTGTTGTAAATGCAAAGCAACAGAAGCCCCACCCCTTTGCTCGGACATGTGACTGGGTGGGGCCTTACACAAGGGGTGGGGATTGGCATGGCCGTAGCTGCCATTTTGACTTTTTTGACCTTATCTGCAAACCTCACAGATGAAAGGGGATTCTACTAGCTAAGGCATCAACTTACCGGAAATATGCTAAGATCATAACCGCGATCGTCAGCGATCCCAGCGAGATAGAATAACCGACCGTATAAATCAGATAAAGCCGATGAAATACTTCCTGCAACACACAGAAGGATCACGCTAAGATGGGTGGATTTCAGCTCCCAGAATTCCCCAGCAGGCACTGAATGAAGCCAGCTGGGTGACTGGGCCAATCACCAGGAGATGGTGAGTTCTAGTCCTGCCTTAGGCATGAGAGGCAGCTGGGAGACTTTGGGCCAATCACCAGGAGATAGTGAGTTCTAGTCCCATTTCAGGCTTGAATGTCAGCTGGGGGACTCTGAGTCAATCACTAGGAGGCGGTGAGTTCTAGTCCCACTTTAGGCTTGAATGTCAGCTGGGAGACTTTGGGCCAATCACCAGGAGATGGTGAGTTCTAGTCCCATTTCAGGCTTGAATGTCAGCTGGGAGACTTTGGGCCAATCACCAGGAGATGGTGAGTTCTAGTCCCATTTCAGGCTTGAATGTCAGCTGGGAGACTTTGGGCCAATCACCAGGAGATGGTGAGTTCTAGTCCCATTTCAGGCTTGAATGTCAGCTGGGTGACTTTCAGCCAAACACCAGGAG